TTAAGTGAAGGAGGGGCCTCCGTTTTCCCTTCTCATCAAGATGTCATCACGAGTACAGGTGTGTGTGGGGGGGCTCTGTGGGTCTGGGGTCAGCTCTCCCCGACCCCCGCCTGTAGCACTTGCAGCACACCTGTATGCAGGTGTGCTGAGCCAGACGTGTGTTGATGGCTTCCAGTCCGGAGGTCAGGGTTGGGTACGTTTTCTAAAAATAAAATTATCCCTGAATTAATTTAATGTTATATAATAATAATTGGCAGTCAGGAAAGGTGGAATATCATTCAGGTAATGAATTTATAGAGTGGGCCATGGACCAGCCTGTCAAAGTTGGGGAAAACAGACCTGCAGGGACATAATTGGAAATGGGCTTATAAAATAGGCATTTAAAACATCTACATTTACAATGAAATTGGCTGTAGAGTTTGGTGGTGTCCTCTAAAGTTTCGGTAGGAAAAGCTCTAATGATGAGGATGAGATGGTGGGTTTGGGTTGAAAAGAACAGGGTGGTGACCCCGGTTAATGTAAGACCAGGTTAGTGCCATGCACGCGTCCATCCTAAGGTTTTTCTTTGTGTGTTTCTAAAGTTTACTGTAGAAAACGAATTTTAAAATCTTGTTTACCTACCTGCTAGACCGTGTTTCTCCAGTAGCCAGTAGTCATATCCCAGTCGAGCCTGCTGATGATGTCATAGGACTTTACTTTTTATCTATCACCTTTTATTATTACTTTTTATGAATCACCTTACTTTCTTACAACCTTGGTGCTTAAGCACCTGGCTGAATTTTATCTAATTATTAAACCTTTGGGTTCACGTCAGATGCATACAAGCTTTTAATTTTTGTTTCCTGATTTACATATAATGCCAGAAAAATGATACAAGCCAATTGCAAGTGTCTAATGTTTACAATTGTGAAATATTGAAAAGACATCCTAACGATTTATCTGAGGGGGAGAGCGTAAAGTGCTTTTAGAATTGGCCGAGGGCTTACGGATGGAGAAAAGGATCACTGCTCCTTTTAGAGGTGATAAAAAAAATCGAGTCTGGAGTCCTTTGCCTGAGATCACAAAGCCGGAGATTATAGAAGAGCAAAAGGAGAGAGCTCGCTGCTGTCTTGGGTTTAACATTGTGACTCAGCCATCTAGAAGCATAACTTCCAGGAGGGGGAGGTGGCGGTGGAGGGATGCCGGTGTCGGGGGATCTCCGGTGGTCCTGGGGATAGGTTCTGCCGCTCTCCTCCTGCTATGAAGATCACCCGGCCTAGTGAGGAATTGGACGTGTGTGAGCGGCATGCCTGGGGCAAGCAAGCCTCTTGGCTGAACTCGAGTTCCCTGAGCAAGGGCAGGCCTCCGTGTGCACTCAGATGCTGACAAGTCAGGGCGTGTTTGGGGAGCTGCTGGGGGTGCAGGGCCGGCAAGGGCTGCACAAGGGGCGTGGTGGGGCGAGGAAGAGTGTGTGTGGGGTCAGGCTCCGAGCTGCATGTGGTGGCGAGATCCTTGTGGTTGTGGCGGGCATTGGAGGGAGGAGGGGCTGGGGGTGGGCGTGGGGGCAGGCAGGAAACTTAAAAAACCTAGCTGACAAACGTAGATGACTGATGAGTATGGACAATCAGACGGAGAGTATAAAGGAGATTTTAAAATGTTCTGGAGGTTAGCTAAATGGAGGGGTGGGTGGGGGATATAGAGAGTGAGTGTGTGTGTGTGTGTGAGTGAGTGTGTGAGCTCACTCCAGGTGAATGCATAGACTGAGGACAGAAACTTGGTATCAGAGGTTTTATGCATCTGCCAGGGCTGCTGTGACAAAGTACCACAACTTGAGGGCTTAAACAACAAAAATGTAGTGTCTCAGTCCTGGTGGCCAGAGGTCCGAGATGCAGGTGTCGGCAGGGCTGGTTCCCTCTGAGGCCACGAGAGAGGACCTGTTCCAGCCTCTCTCCAGCTTCTGGCACTTTGCAGACAATCCTTGTTGTTCCTTGGCTGGTGAATCTGTGCCCTCATCTTCACGAAATTTCCCCTTTTATAAAGACACCAGCCCTTGGACTAAGGGCCCTTCCTACCCTAGTGTGCTTTCATCTTAACTAGTCACATCTGCCCGGACTTTGTTAGCAGATAAGAGCACGTTCTGAGGTCCTGGGCGTTAGGACGTCAGCATATGTGTTTGGGGAGGACACAGTTCCACCCATAACAGAGGTAACGGAGGACTTGCATGAATTTGGTGTTGTGTTTTTAGGCTGTGATGATTAGTATCTTGGTGATTTGTTCACCACCAGGACTTGGCGGGGGTTTAACGATTGCTGAGGTTTTCAAAGTACCCCCTGGATCCCGGAGGATCCCGAGGCCCTCCTGGAGGGCACCCCCTGCAGCTCAGCCCTCATGTCCAAGAAACTCTGCTTTCCTCAGTTTCTCATAAGCACAGGAAGGAGGATGTCCACAAAGTGCTGCCCGGACCGGGGTCCAGGAGCCCCCGCCGAATCGTGAAATTACATGAACCACCTTGAAATCCCTGAAACAACTCCAAGCAGAAATGTTTTCCTGGGTTTCAAGAGCTTTAATGGTCCGGACTACATTTGCTCTTCCACAGACCTCGCCTAAAGCACATGGTCTCTCTGGCTGCTTCTCAGTCGCTGTCACCCTGAGTCAGGTTCCCAATCAAATGACAAGTCCTGGGTTGGGACAGACACCCTGGGAGCACGTAGGAAGGATTTTTAAACTTTTGCACAAATTCCCGTTGCTTTTCCCTTGTTCCTCTAAGTGTGATCAGTTAGAGGTCTAGGAATAAGATGTGAGGGGAAAAGTTTTTCCCAAAATAAGAAAGAATAGATTTCCTTTGCAAACTTATTTTTTTTTAGAGTTGAATTCAGTTCCTGTCTCCAAGAAACGGCAGATTTCCCTCATCTCTTTCTTAAAAAGTTTAAAAAATAGGGAAATAATGTTGACTCTTGCAGCTTCTGCATACTTTTCTATTGTAAGTAGATTTATCACAGGTTTAATGTATCTTTTATAAAAGCGAGTGATAACCCTTGGCGGAAACGTTGAATGACACAAGTAATAAATGCCAGCGGTGCTCCCCGTGGGCTGGGCACCTTCCCGTGGGATGTAGTTGTCCCATCTTACAGCTGGGGACACTGAGATGGAGAGAGGTGAATAAGGAGGGCGAAGTCACACAGCACCAGTGTCTGCACAGAGCTGGTCCAGCGTCAGAGGCATGTGGCTGTGTCACACAGGCCAGGGGGGATGGGTGTCCTGTGGTTGCCAGATGTTTCCTAGCTCATTTTATAATCACGACAGCCCAGCTGTGAAGGGGTGCTGTTCCCTTATTACCTATGAGGAATCCCTGATTTGGGGTCGTTCAGGGATCCTCCTACGGCGGCAGGTGGCAGGTGCTTGTCTGGGTCCAGCATGCATGCTGTCTCTGATCCGTTTCCCCATCAGAGGTGTTTCTTCTGACCATCCTCTGGACTCAGTCCTCTTTCTCAGTGATGGTGGTAAGGGGGATCAAAATGAGAGTTTATCTGCTTTAAGGTTGGAAAGTTTTCTTTGGTTTTTAAAGTTTTGTTGTTTAAGCAAGTGTGCTTTCCCTGTTAGACCTGTGCCCACGAAAGAGCGTGGGAGTGGATGTGTGTGTGCGTGTGCTTGCTTAGGAAGATTAGTCCTCTAGCTGGCCAACTCCAGCCTCACGTCGCAGCAGCCCATGTGGAGGACCTTGGGCACTTCTTAGGGGTGAGGTGGAGTGCAGACTCTAGTTTCAGCTTCTCGGGTGCTGCAGTGGCGCAGGCCCCAAACTGTGGGAGGGGCGGTCCCCATCATCAGGGAGGACCACTGTGCCAGAGAACCACATATGGCTCCAGGTGGCGGAGGGCCGACATGCAGCCTCTGGGGCCAGTGGGGAAGCTCCAACAGCGTGGTTCTCCAGCGTCGAGTTATTTGGCATTTAGATGTTGTTTCTGGAAGGCGTCTGTGCCAAGGAGCGCAAAATGAGATCAGAGACTGATGCAATCCTCTCGCCAAAATGAGAATTCAGCATCCCAGTGAGGGTTAACTAGAGTGAACACAGAGCCCAGACTCTCGGAAGGTGGTTTGTCTTTGGAGAGGCCGAGGAACCCAGAAGTGGAAATATTTCCTGCTGTTCAGGAGAAGGCCTGGAGGTCCGATCAGGGATGCTGTGGGGAGGTGCACGTGGCAGTGGCGTACCCTCCGGATCTGGGTGTGTGACAGGCCAAGATATCTAGGGCCAGCCCCTGCCACCTTCACGTGCCCATCCCTTCCCTCTTTGCTCCCCCCCAGTGTTCCAGCAGGCATCCCCCTGGCGGTTTCTCGCTAACCCAACATGGTCTCTAACCCCTCTTTGTCAGCCAGCTGCCCCGCTCTGTCTCGACTGTGCCGAGATGCCATCCAGTAGTTTCTGTCTAACCCTGTGTAGTAGTTGCACATCCTCCCCTTACTTGTGAACTGTGAATACGGAAACACCATTCCCATGATGTCCTCTGTTTTCCTTCCAAGAACTGGGTTTCTCTTGAGGAGAATACAGGTTCTCAGCCCTTGAATTTATCAACCTGTAGTAGACCAGCCACCTGCTCAGCACAAAAAAAAAATTGGTTTCAGTTTTGCGAACCCAACAAGAGAATGATGATTTCGGCGTTCTCTGTCTCTGAACTCTGTGTATCAAAGTGTTCCCGGTGGGAGAAAATTCCTGAATTTGCGCACAGAGCCCACGTTAAAATTCCACCCTTCTCAGCCACGAGTGATCCTGGCATTGCACGGCAGCCTGTGTCTTCTAACTGGAAGTGAACACGGGTTCTTAAAGACCAGTATTGAAATCGGAGTTCAGTTCTTTTAAAATCCAGTGGTTGCTGGAGACAGATCCGAAACCCACCCCCGAATGCTCAGCACTGCCTCCCAGGGCAGCATTCTAGGATGTATTTATCCGCAAGCGAAGCCCACGTCTGTTCGCCCTCCGCCCGCCCTGTCTTTCTTGTGTAACAAGACCGTTTGTGTGTGTGTGGCAGGTGGCAGATTCAAGAAGGAGATTGTCGTGGACGGACAAAGCTATCTGCTGCTGATCAGAGATGAAGGGGGCCCCCCAGAGGCACAGGTGAGTACTACACGCGGGCTGCTAACCAGCTTTAGGCTTGGGTTTCCTTGTTGAGGTTCTGATTAACGGGCGGTTCTAGAAATCAACCAGGTGCACCTCAAGAAGAGGTGACAGAGGAGCCCCGTGAAAATGTTTCTGACTACTGAGGTTTTTCTCATCTCTAAGAAACGAATTCTGTTGTTCCTTCAGGCAGAATCTTAGAGGGAAGTTGGGGCTGTGTGGCTGCTTGTCACTCTGTTTTTAAGAAGGAAGGTAAAGCTGAATCTGACTGATTTGTCAACTCAGTTGAACTGACATCTGGAAATTTCTAGTCTTTTGTTGTTGTTCCTTTTTCCTGTATGTGTTTCATCTCTGGAATAGTGGGCTCCTTTAGAAAGTTGCTGGGTGAACTTTGGAAAGCCAGTCAACAGTGCCACGCTGCTCACTGGGCTTCTTGGCCCAGGTCAGTCTCCACACGTGCAGCATAGCATGGAAACTTCCTCGAAAGGTGGGCATCCTGGGCAAAAAAAAAAAAAAAAGCATGAGTCTGGAAAGCCTCTTCTTTAGTTTACTTAATCTCCAGTTTATTATTTGACTTACGTAATAATTTACTAGCTAAACACTTTAAAGGAGCCAAGAGTTAGTCAATGACCCATTAATGCAAAGTTAACATTAAAACTTTCCGTGGCATTCTTTCTTGAACTTAGATTTTTATGAAAAGTGAGACATAGAATTATCAAGTGATTAAAGGAAGATGTGGAACAGAGGGGTTGTTACAATTCTCCTCCATACGTTGGAAGACTATGGAGCTCTTCCAAAAGATGTCATAGGTTCATCGTGTTGCATGGAACCTAAAATGCCGCTGGTGGTGAGCTATACCAATATTTAAAAGAAAAATGCTGCCAGTTAAATTTGAAACAAAGCAGTCAGAAGGTATGTTCTTATATCAAAGATGTTAACATGTGAGAAAAGTTTTTCTAACATTGATGAAACAGTAGACTTGATGACAATAAGGAAATGTATGGAAGACTTCAAATGCGAAAAAAGTAGGTGGCCAAGCCATGTGAGCTCACGTTCAGTGAATGTCTGTTTATAATTAAGCCGGGCATGGTTTGATATGTGACTGACACCATCGTAGAAGGTTTGCAATGGTGATAAAAGCCAGATAACTCTTTCTCAGTCATCCTTCCACGTGAGACCGTCTGTCCTGCTGTCACAAGGGGCTCTGATCCAGGTTCCCTCAGAGGCGGCTGGTAATTAGGAGAATAAAGTCGTGTGGAAGTCCCTGGGGTCATTTCATATTTTTCTCAGCCTATAAACGTTTTGGAGTGACCAGGGACAATTTCACAATTAAAGAGCAAGCCTTAGTGATATATGAAGAATCTAAGAAAAGCCTTGATGAACCTGCAGAAATGCACATCAGCGCTGCTTTAGTGGCTCTGAGAATTCTGCTTTCCCTGGTGGAAAGCTGTCCAGGGAGGCTGGTGGCGGAGGGGGAGCGCGGAGACACAGAACTTCCCGTATTTACAGTGACGGGTGGGAAGGCTGTCCCGGGCCAGGTTTAATTGCGATAAGACCAGGCTCTGAGAGAACCCCCAGGTGCACATTGGAGAGGGAGCTCCAAGAGTCAATCATGCCATGGCTGTTATTAGGGTTGCCTTTTATTAAAAATTTTTGGGGGTGCTCATATTACAAAACCCATACCAGTGTTCCCCACATCCCCACATGTCAGCAGACGACGTCCTGGTATTTTGTCTCCAGTGGTATTTTTCCTCCGAGAAAGATCTTTTCTCTAATGTCCATAGAAAATGTATCTTTTACGTAACTTCACATGCTTAGAACATGTGAGGTCTTTTGATAAAGTAACATTTTCCTTCCTTTTAGTCACTATAATTAATGAAGGGCTTACTTGAAGCAAAAATAAAATAAGGTCTGTGACAAATAGCGGGACTCTTCCTGTGCGTTTCTCCTTGTGCCTCGGAAGCACACACGCTGTACGACGAATCCAGTAACGTTGGGTGAGTACCCGCCCTGTGTGGGTCAGCTCACTTAATCCTCGAGACCCTCCTGGCGGAGGATGCTCAGAGCATTCCTGTTCTCACAGAGGCTGCTGGTGCCCCGAGAGCTTGCCCGAGGTTGGAGGTGGTTTTGCGGCACTGACCAGGTGGTCCGCCCTGTCGATGGCACCACTGCCGGGCCTGCAACCAGGACCCCCAGGCTTTCTCCATCTTGGCCTCTGGCCACGAGAAAGGGTTGACTCAGTTTTCCTGAGCACCTGCCCTTTATTCACACCCCACTTCCTTCAGAAGCCATATCTAGCCTAGAAGCTTACCCTTGCTAAAGAGTTATCCTTTAGAGGATATCCAGATGGAGGCTGTCAAGATTATGGACAGGATTTTGTACAAAATTGGGCAGAGTGTTCTTGAACATTCAAGAAAAAATAAAACTCTCTTCAAGTTACTGTTCCTAGGCATGTGTAAGCATGATCTTTTGTTTTCATTATTATAGATCATGTCATGTAGTTTTCCCCAAAGATCATGGCTTCATGAATGAAATCACAAGACTTTGTGGCTGCTAGTGTCATCTTAGGGTCATGTAAACACTCTGCCAATTAACGGCTTTTTTTGGGCAGTTGGTGGGGGAAGCCATTGGGGTGGGGTGGTATTTGTGGAGAGCCACCACCTGTCAGGTGCAGGGCAGTCAGAACACACCTGAGAGAATGGGACGGGGTCTGCATTTCCTCTGCACGGAGGGTCAGCTGGTTGTCAGCCTCGGTCTTGGGAGGCGAGAGCTGGTCTCAGAGGACAAGCACTCATAAGGAGCTTGTGCACGTGGGGAAGCTGACTTCTCCCGCTTCTTGGAAGGGAATGGGACAAGGAGATGCCCTGTGTGGGCCGGGGTCCTTGGGTCTCTAGAGGGCCATCCTGTTTTCTCAGGCCTGTCCCACGGTTCTTGGCTCCTAAGCTCTCTCTTTCACTTAATTTTATATTTATCATTTGAACTTAAGATTTACTTAAGTTTTATTGCGTGAAAATTGCATGTAAAATGAATACGCTTTTCATTTATATGTGAAAGTCTGAACTTAACTGACTCAGAATTTCCCCAAATATGTATACAAGAGCTGATGCCTTGGCTGTAAAAACTTACCTGGGAACTGCAGCTTTTAGAGAAAGCAAACAGGATTTTTTTTTCCCCACTTGGAAATAGAAGGGTAGTTGGTGGCAGACCAACCCAATCGCGACCCCGCTGTTCCAGTCGACTCCAGGCAGCTCCTGAGCCTGGAGGACCCTCCATTCACAGCCTGAGGCTTTACACAATGGTTATGAGTAGTGAATGAGATAATATATGCCTGACAGTAGGATTATTTTCCCAAAAGAGGATTTGATGGAGGTTTAACTGGATGCCGGTAAAACAAGAATAACGTGGCAAGAGGCAGCTTGCTGTGGGGTTTTAATTTTTTCCCCTTATTTTTAATTCGTTTTGTTAATTTCACTAACAGTAACAATAAGTCGTCATTTCATCGCAGGGTGCTGTAAGGATTCAGTGGCAGGTGATCTCTACGGTACAAAGATCTCTCATGACAGAGGAGTAGGCACCAGTGTCGGCCCTGGTGGAGGATTTCTGAGCGGGCCGTGGGTGCTCCGGGGCAGAGCCCCATCTCAACCTGAGGGGTCCAGCAAGGCTTCCTGGGGGGCTCTGGAGGGAAGGGTGAAACGGAAAGCTGCAGGGTCAGCCTTGGTGCCCGAGTCCAGATCGGCTCTGGTGTGAGGTGGGGTTTGCCTTCTGTTCACGTAGCTGCAGTTGGCTGAGGCGGGACACGGCTGCGCGTTCCAGTGGGAAGCATGTAGAGTACCTTCTCTGCAGATGAGATGAGGGTCCCACTGCAGGCGTGTTGTGCTCAGGATGAGGAGGGTGTTGGTGACATCCAAAGTCAGACGTGGGACTTGGCCTGACGGAGGGAGGTGCTGGTGCGCTGTGCCGGCTGTACGTCCTCTGCTCACGAGGATGCTGTGATGCTGTTCAACCCCGTCTCCCCGTGAGCCTTCTCAACCGCTTCCTCTCTCCTCCCTCTTTTCTCCCTAGTTTGCCATGTGGGTGGACGCTGTTATATTTGTCTTCAGCTTGGAGGATGAGATAAGTTTCCAGACCGTTTACCACTACTACAGCAGGATGGCCAACTATCGGAACACGAGCGAGATCCCTCTGGTTCTAGTGGGAACCCAGGGTGAGTGATGTCCGCGTACAGGTGGTGTGTAAAGGATCCCAGAGTTGAGCTGTAAGTGGATTCTTGGTCTGTATTTTCGGCATGGAGGAATTTATAAATGGCTTAAAGAGGAAATAATTTCCTTCTGAAGGCTCACTTTCTATGGTGAGAATCCATGACACTGAAATTGTCACATTTCCTCATTTGATTCTTTGGAGAAATCACTTACTCAGAAGCCTCAAAACAAAACATATACGCATCCCCCAAAATAAAGCCTATTTTCTCTTCTTTTCTATATTAGGATATCTTAATTCTCTCTGTATTGTAAAACAATTTATAAACAATCTGAAAGGTTATTTGAAGTTTTGGTGCACCTTTAAAATAATCCTGATTTCTGATATGTAGCACAGTTGTGTTTTATTCTGCTCTATTTGTTAATGTCCTAGGATCTGCATCTTATTTTTAATCCAGCAGATCCCTCAGAGAGTATAGAATCATCTCATCATACGGGCACATTTCCTCTTTTCTTCTAGGTCACTTAAAACTTGGTCTCTGAGTAAAGTGGCATCATTTGAAGTGTCCTTGTTTTTGATCACAGATTCATCGATACGCAGCTGTCTACCATGGGGGTCTTAACTAAGAGGCCACACAGAATGTTTTTAAACATCAGAAGAAGGTTAACTTTAAAACGGCTTAGTCAGAAATATGGGTAACTAAAAAATAATCCTGTTAAGAAAAACTGGATTATCCCTTTGTTTTTTATGGTTCCTATACTGTTTTTCGTTTATTCCTTTAGAGTTAGCACCTCTGGTATGCCCTCCCACGTCCTGATGTAAGACTTTTCCAATAGGAAATTAGCTGGGTTGAACAAGAGGAATGGTTAGCTGCAGGCATCATACCAGGTCTGGTAGAGCAGAGGAGCTCAGCCAGGGTCATTGGCAGCTTTGGCAGCAAGACGAGCCCCAACCATGGTGTGGGGATGTGTGCTGGAGAAATAAAGCAACTTGCAGTAAGCTCAAAGCGTTTCTCTTGGCGTGCTGGATGTAAAATGCTGGAGTTGGGTTTTCATGGAGAGCATCCCCCGTTTTTTTTTGTTTTTTTTTTAGCAAACCCGTTATGGCCAGTGGTCTCATAACAAACCTTCAGAGTGAGAGGGAGATAAGAGAGTAAAAGCAAACAGGAGCTTCTTTATGCCTACAGCGCCCTCTAGTGGTCACCGGGAAACCGGCGCGCACCCCCAGAAAGCGCTTGGTTCTTGTTTTAATAGACGGAATTGACATAATTGGGTTGCTGTCTTGAAAATTCATAACTAAATGATGTTTTATGGTGGGTAGCCCATCTCAAGCAGACCCTGCATAATGCTACCTTGAAATTGAAACCATTCGTTTCCAGTCGGCTCCTCTTCCTGCACACCTGCCCTGGGTATTTCCGAGCACAGAGACTGTGTGTGGCAGCTCCTTACCGGCTACCTGAGTCCACGGGTTTGTGTCTAGGACTCAGAATGCCTTTTCTCTGTGGACTCACTGTGATTCACGGCGGGTAAGTTTTCAGTCTAGGCCAGAAGGTTAAGTTTGATTTTACTCACACACCTGTGGGTCTGGTAGGAGAGCGTGGAGTGGAGTGTCTGGCTGTGTGGCCTTGACTGCTGCCCCCTGGGCTCTGGTGGGGCTCAGAGTGAGGAATCCCTGTAAGGCACTTAGAGCATCCGTGGGCACTAAGTGTCGGGCAAGTGGTTGCTTTTGCTCCTTACGTTTCAATATACGGCCAGTCTTACTGAGGTCCTGCTTGGGATGCCAGACGCGTGTCTCCCTCTGCTCCAGTCCTTGGAGGTTAGTGCTGCTCTCTTGTGTTTCCGCCCCAACTGAAGGAGGGCCCATCTGTGCCTCCCACCGGGATGGTCTGTGTGTCTGGAGGAGGCCTGTGCATGGCTCCATAGAGGTGCTGGGGGGCCCTGACGTGGTCCCTGAGTGGAAGACCCTACCCCCATTTATTCCCACTAATTGGAGAAGTGTTTGTTGACTGAGTGCTGTGTGTCTGATAAGGTCACAGGTGAGGAGCACCTGAGCCAGGGAGCACAGGTCGAGGAGGACTTGTTGGCTGTCTCCTCCCCTTCACTTGTCAGACACTGTTCATACGTCAATGAGGCCATGCCCCAAACGAACAGGACAGGAGTGCTATCAACTAGGGACCTCATCTGGGGGATGCTCTGGGTCCTTAATGAGACCTCTGATTCCTGGAGCACCCTCCAGGCTCCTGTGGCAAGAAGGTGGCATGAGTGTGGGCTTCTAGAGGGTTCCACCCTCAGGTGCCTGTTAACTGCTTGCAGACTCACTTTTGTGAAGCCTGCGTGTTGTCCTGCTTTTGCACGAACTTCATGGGACGTCAGAGAGACAAAAGGCAGCTCAGGTCTCCAGGGAAGGAATCTGAAATTTCCCTCCCAGCTGGTTGGTGTTGGTGGCCTCCAGGTGGGAGGTGAGGGGATGAGAAAGAAGAAGAAGAAGAATTAAGCTCACTCCGTGAGGCTCCCTGGCGTGTGGTGCAGCCTCGCCCCGGGTGGGAAGGGCGAGTCTGCGAGGTGTCTTCTCTTCCTGGGTTCAGTCAGGGAGCTGCGTGGATGCTCACAAGTGGACGAGACACTTCTGAATGAGGCGATTATGAAATGTTTGTTCAACAGGTTCTGTTTTAAAGGCTTGCAGATTAACTTGATTTGAGGGAGAAGCACGAGCTATAAAAAGATGCAGAGTTACAGGGAGAATGGAAACGAGGCTCGTGTAGCACAGAGATGCAGAGTGAAGGGGAGCAGGTCCTTGTCTGTGACGTGACGGTGCATCTGGGAAGTCGAGACGAGACAGAAGCGGAGTGGGCATCCCACCCAGAAAGGAGGGGCTGAGGAATTGTTGGGCCCAGGTCAGGAGAAATTTTAAGCTGCCTTGACTCTTGGTGGCTTGTAAGTTCCAAATTACACTGGAGCATTGAAAAATAATGGATTTCTAACTTCTTTCTTACTATTTTTTTGAAAGATGTTTATACCTTTAAAAAATGCTTCTTTTCCTTAAGTATTGTGAGATCCAATTCATATTTATTAATCTGTAAGACAACAAGACAGGACGAGGTTTTCTTTGAAGAAATCCCTCTAACAGGCCATATCAGAATGTTCTGGAACATCTATTGAGGCGGCACAGGTCACTCTCAGTGAAAGGGGTCCTGAGTCACAGAGTTAGTTTCCCTTAGAGTAATTAAGAACCATCAGTTCAAACCTATTCCATAGAGCTAAAAAAAGCAGGGAACCAGGAAAGGAAAAGAGGGAAAAAGTGAATAAATTGTTTTCTCCAGATGCCATTTTTCATACTTCAAAAAATAGCATATCAAATGCACTTCTTGTGCAAAGAAAATTCAGAAGGTTGTCACTATCTTGTATAACTTATGCTGTTTCTTCGACTAGTAGAGAAAATCCTGTTGGTGGGTTTTACTTAAAGAGTGTTTTCTGTAGCAAAGGAGCCTTTGGATCCTCTGAGAAAATTTCACTTTAGAAAAAAGTCACTGAAAAGTGCCTTTTGTCTCACATATGGCACAGTGGCCACTAACATCCTGGCCCTTTGTCTCTTCCTGTGAGCCAGGCACGTGGGGGTGCTCAGTAACTCAGTAGTAACAGAATGGACAGTGTGGGGGCATTGTGTACACTGAGCTCAAAAATGCTGAATTTTCTTCCTTTTTTTTTTTTTTTTTTGGTGAGGAAGATTAGCCCCGAGCTAACAATTGTGCCAGTCTTGCTCCACTTTATATGTGGGTTGCCACCACAGTATGGCTGACAAGTGGTGTAGGTCCACACCCAGGATCCAAACCTGCAAACCAGGGCCACTGAAGTGGAGCATGCAGAACTTTAACCACTAGGCCACAGGGCAGCCCCTGAATTTTCTTTAGGAGTGTGTTTACTGGTGCCCAACATCTCTGTTTTGCTGCTCTAATGCTCCCATCTGTGCACAGATCCTGGAGCGTGGGGGGTATCCCCTGCCCTCCCATCTAAGCCATCTGTGCCCTGGAGTGGTTCTGATAAGACCTAAGGTGGCTCGTACACCTGTGCTTGTGGTCTCCAGTGCCTCCCCTCTGCTCCCCCTCCTGCCCTCGCCCTTTGGTCTCCTTTAGACACACCAAGTACTTGGCTGCCCCCCGCCCCCAGGTCGTGGCTGGTCACGCCGCCTCCTGCAGGTGAGGCTTCCCTGAGAAGGACACTGAGTCCACTGACCTCCTACGTCCTTCCCCACCTGACTCGGCTCCTGTCGCCATCCTGCATTCTAGTCCTCGCTCATTTCGTTCTTATTTATTTTCTGCCTCCCTCCCTGGCCGACTAGAATATCCCCTCCATGGGAGTGCAGACTTGTGTCTGTTCTGTTCGCTGGGTATCCCTGTGCCTAGAACAGGAGCAGACACCTAAGGGGGCTCCGTGGACCTGTTCTGAGTGGGCGAATGGGCACACCTGGAAGGAACGATGCTAATACAGTCCTGAGCCACATAACGATGTTGGAGTCAAGGACGGAGCCACATAGACGGTGGTGGTCCCGTAAGATTAGCATCATACAGCCTAGGTGTGTAGCGGGCTCTACCACCTTGCTTTGTGTAAATACACTGTGATGTTTGCACGATGACGAACTCGCCTAACAGCGCACTTCTCAGAGCAGATCCCCGTCGTTAAGTGGCGCACGACTGTGTACTGAATGCATTTAGAGGGGTGCTTTCTGCAGAGAAGGTCCCCTGCAAGTAGTGACTGTGGGGTTTTTTTTTTTCTTTTTTAAAATATTTTTCTCTGGAGCCGCATTTAACTCTCACTCCTTCCTTCTGGTCTTCCTGGACGTGCTTTTATTTCACTTTCAGAAGCAGGATCCTCTGAGACAGGCTTCTAATGAATGACTAGTCTCGGGTCTGAGGTTATTATTTTGGGGTCAGCTCTGTTTTAAAAACGCTGGGTTCTTAGGAGCATTACGTCCCTGCTGAGTAAGGTGCAGCTTTTGAGCTGCTTGGGGACTTCGGCTGTGGGAGGTGGTCAGAGCTGCTTGTGGTCACCGTGTTGCTACTCTCTGTTCGTCTGCTCCAGATGCCATAAGTTCCACCAACCCGCGGGTCATCGACGACGCCAGGGCGCGGAAGCTCTCCAGCGACCTGAAGAGGTGCACATACTACGAGACGTGTGCCACGTACGGGCTGAACGTGGAGAGGGTCTTTCAGGACGGTAAATACTCGCTGCTGCGCAAACAGCATCCCTTTGCCCTATAGCAGGTCACTCGTCCCCACAGACGACGGAAACTCGTCCTTCGATGCGTGGGTGTTACCATGAGTCCGAGCGCTACATTCAAGAGTGACTCTCGGTTCTGTGCTGGTTAAAATGACGTGTTCAGAAAACACAGTGAGCTTTTATCCTAAAACAGTCCTACAGCGAATGCTGTGTGTTACATCATGTGTCCCTTTTGGGTACAGGTTGAAAAATTTCTCCAGCTATTTATTTATGCACATGAACTGTCAAAGTTACACGTGGACCACTTTCTTCCTCACTGTAGGGGCTCATTCTTAATTCAAGCCCATCCTTAAAAAACGGTTTAAATATTTCACATTAGGCTTTGAGGAGAATAAATTGAAAAAGAGAGAGAGAGTCAAGTTTGGCCAAAAATAACCACATTTTAGGACTCATGGCTGAGAGTAAGCACACCAGCATTTAGGAGTCGTTTCTCTGTCGTTGCATTTATTAATGATTGTCCATCTCCAGGAGCATCAGACAGGAAGTTCTCCTGGGGGAGCAGAAGGTTCTACGGGGGGATAAGCATTCACATACATGATTGTCAGGCCAGTGTCGGATTGGGAGAGGGGGGAGGGACAGGTGGAGATGGTGGGAGGGAGGTGTGGTCTGTAGCCTGGAGGGGTCAGGAGGGTCCGGGGTGAAGGGACCCTTTGAGCGTTGAAGACTGGAGAAGGATGCTCCTGGCAAAGGCTCCTGTTTCCGGTGGGAGTCATGGGAATTAAATCCTAGGCCCCCTCCCCTTCTGGTAAAATCTGGTTTAGACCCACCTTTGCATCCCCCTGCTCTGGTGCCAAGGGGGTTGGGGGCAGAGCAGGGCGGGCATGCCTGGTCTCTTCAGAGACGGCCGACGACGTTACTGGGGCCTTGCTGGGCACCAGCCCTGATGACCACTTGTTGATACTGGTAAACGTATTCATTATAGGATTGCTCTTGGTACTTCCCCACACCGGGCAGTGCATGCTTTTCTTTTAAATGTCCAGATTAGTTCTCAGATGAAATTGTGGGAATTCCACACTTGCCTCATTTTATTAAATGTCAAAGATGGTTCCATTTTCAAGCTTTGCATTTTCTTCCCTTTTCCTTAACAGCCGGGTCCTTTTCTAAGCTTTTCATCTCTTTCCTTTTAGCTGCCTCACAGATAATTATCAGCCTTCTGTTTTTCAGCACGTTATCCTATTTAGTTCTTTATACCTCGTATTTCTTGCTACCTTTCCCAATGACAATTCCGAAGAAGCTCAGGATTTCACCAAGAAACAGTGCAAAGTCCCTGGGGTCTGCATCCCCTTCTTCCTTCCTCTCACAGTCAGGGGGCCTCCTCGGGTGATACCCACATACTGCTGGGTAGCAAACCCCATTTAAAACCTGTGCGGGGCACGTGCTGGGCCAGTGGTCCTAGCTCCTTGGATGTTCGTGAGACCATGAAGACTTAGGGAAGGGAGCACGTGGAATTCTCCAGGGTTCTAGCAGGGCACGGTCACTGTTTGCTGTGGAACAGCTGTGTGAATAACCCTGTGAATGTTCAAGTGACGGATTTAGACGAAGGGTCCCCAGAATAGGGCCCACTGCCTGTTGTTGTAAGTGGCTTTTCTTGGAGCATAGCCATGCTGTTTATAGGCCACAGGCAATGCGGGCCGGGCCACTCGTGGTTGTCACTGCAGAGCGGAGTTAGGGGGCCAGAGCCCTCATGGCCTGCAGAGCCTGAAGTGGTCGCCGTCTGCCCGTTTACCTCCCTGAGGCAGATGGTCGGGATTGAGTTGCATGGATGAGTTTATTCTGCAATCATCGCTTTCCTTGTGCGTTTATCGTGGTTAGCAAACCTGGACTAGCCATGAGGAAATGAGCTCATAGGTGATAATCCTAAGAATTAATTCCTACTGATGGATGCCAAGATTGTGGTGCTTCCCTGCCCAGCGTCCAGAAGGTGTGAGGCCGTGGATGGGCCTGTGTGCTGGGAGAGCTTCAGTGTCGTCCTCAGGCTGCAGCAGGCGAGGGGAGAATGGGCGTCTCTCCCAGTGTCGTATTTTGAAATGTTAAACTGGTTCTGTGGCCGTGATAGCTCTCCTGGTACCTCCTCAAACAAGGCTCTGACTGGGGAAGCGCGTTATACTCTTCATGTGAGTTTTCACAGGCTTCGGAGATTTTACTACATTTCATTATTTCTTATTTTAGAAGTAATACATCCCTTTTAAATATTTGGATTGTACAGTCTGGAAAGGAAATTATACCCAGGATCTTATGATTTCTGTGATTTCATTCTTAAACGTTTTTATTTATAATGAAGATAAGCTTTCAAAATAAAGTTGGGGTTACTCTCCCTATTTTAGAGGGTAATTGTATGGTATATATTTTTGTTTGTTAAATTATAAACCCTTTAATTGTTAGTGGTGAAAGCAGGTGCTAACGGAGTGGAGACTCTGCTCGGTATTTAGAAATCATTCACAGTAACAATCCATTTTAGTTTTCGTGGAAGAAAAACTTGTCAAGTTCAGAGTTAAAGAAATCGAGGTTCAGAAAAGTTTCGTAACTTGATCAAAGGCACTCCCCCTGGATTGGACCCTGGTCTTGGGACCAGGAGCCTAGAGTGAACCATTTTGTCATGAGAACGGAAGCCATCTGGGGCCTGTCTGCTTACCTGGGGAGGCTGGGCAGTGGGCACGTCCAGCACGCAGGTCCACTGCCGCCCACGGCCTCGGTTGATTTGGAGTTCTCTGTTGACTTTTGCTGCTCCTCTGTGCCTCACGGCTTACTCTTATTTATATACTTTTTATGTCTTTGCATTGTAGAAAGAGAAAGTAAAGAAAAAGTATCATTTCTAGGTACCATTTAGCTTATCAGTTAAAGAAAACAGCCCAGGTGTATTAGACTAGCTCTGACTTCCACCTGCCCCTCCAAGCTCCTCGTTGGCCGGCTGCCCACCCAACTTTATTTTCTTAAGAGACCATGGACTTGAGGCTTTTCTTCTTCAACTTGTGACTTCTTAGTGTCCTGAAACAGGAGACAGATTGTGGAAATTAATGGAGGAACAGAATGCCTGTTTACTTTTCTCTCGTTGGTGTAGGTGCCGAATGGCTTTTGGAAGGTCATTCAGGAGAGACGTGCTTTGTGGGCATCAGCAGTATCAGGAGGCAGGGAAGTAGGTTGGTTCATTCATTCATTCACTCATTCCTTCATTCAAGCACCAGCCTTCCACACGCCGTGCCCCTGGTTAGGGGTAGAGATGCAGTAGGGAGCCCCTGCCTTGGGAAGTGAAGTCCAGTAGGGAGGACGAACATGGACCAGTCGCCCAGAGACGTAAGCTTGCATCTTGCCTAAGGCTGGAGAAGGAGAAGTGGGATGGACCAGGTGGCTTTCTATTGCCCCTTCTGGGCAATCTGGGATCATTTTCCGCTGCTGAGTTATATGGCTCGGGGAGCAGAACCATCTGGGCTCCCAGACTCACCTTTTGAGAATGAATGCACTGTTTCTCCTTAATCTTGGCAGCTGAATCTGACTTGGGATGTGCCTACCCATCTGCTTGTCCGGATTGCCAGAAGAGCCGGGCAGAGATTTCAGGGGCTCCAAAGGCTGGACGCGGGGAATTGAGGCAACTGTGGGTTACACGGGGCCTGCCCTCTGTATCCCTCAGTCTGTCCGATTCTGTGCAGTTCTGTTTGCTTCTTGCTGTGTCTGGGAGATGAACGACAGGCTTTTGCATTTTTAGCATTATAATTGTGAGTTCCGTGTTTGGCATTAAATTTTTTTGAAAGTCCCAGGTCATTTGCCTTCTTAGGGCCTGAATACGTGAAGATACAGGATTACAGAAAACTTCAGTTCATTCTCTGCAGACATTGTTTCCCTGGTGCTGTGAGTTTTTTTATAAGAAAGTTTCTTTCAGTCTTTGTAAAGGAACCAACTCGGAGTGACGGAAGCCCTTGGGTGAGCACGTCTTCCATGTCGTTTGAGTCCAGTCTCTGGGCAGGTCAAGGGCGGTAATGTTGGTGGCGGGATTGTTCAACCTACATGTTCAGAGATAACCTAAAATAATTATGTCTTGGCGACAAAAATAAATTCTTCCCTGGAAGACGAAGCAGTGCCTAGTGGTAGTGAAAAGTCTTTTGTGCGTAGGTGGCGAAAGGGTTGCTCGGAGTGGTACGTGCGCCATCTTGGGAGCAAGAAAGTGGCCCTGCCCCCTGTCTTGACGATGGAGCATTCGGGCTTTTAGTTCCCTGCAGTGGGGTTTTTGGAAATTGAGAGTTTTAGTCTCTTCAGACACGTTTGGGTTTCTCACTTACGTGGAGCGTCTGTGTTTGCAGCTTGTTTCACCTCCAGTGACAGTGGTGTGTGATGGACGTACCATGAGCAGTACGATGTGCGTCACTGTATAGTTACCTTATCCAACCCGAGAACGAGGGAGAATCGGGTGTGTGTTTGTTTTGGCATCTTATGGAATAGAGCCAATGGACTCCCTAAGTTTTGGGGGGTATGTTTTATAATTTTGCCATCTGACTTGTTTGGGATACTTTAAAGATCTCTGATACCCAAAGAAGAGTCGTTTCCCTTCATACAGAATGAAGAGTAGAGCCAGATGGTGGTAGCAAAAAATTGTTGTACTTTTCCCTTATGGAAGCTACTCTATGCGCTAGCCCTGTCTCCTTCCCTCTCTGTCTCCTGGAATGAGCTGACAGAGATTTATCTGAATCGTTTTATATGTGAGTTGTTTATTATGCATCCCAACATCAGTTGTTTTGTATGCGGAATTTAATGTTCTTGCACGTATATTCTAAAATTGTAGTCATTTGTTAAATTCCGAGTCTAAGCATCCCGTTATACGTATTAAGACATGCTCCCCACTAGAGCTTTAACTTCTTGCCTTCTTCAGCTTATGTTCCTAGGACGGTAGGAAAACCTGCATGCAGAATTTTGCTCTGACAATAATTGTTAGGCCAGGTCCAGAGGCA